GGTTGCCCCGGAGTTGGGTTTTTGCTTGCATTTTTGTTCAAAATGCTGCTCTCGCTGAGGCGCCGGCCTCATTTTCGGGCCCCGCTCGTTCCGAATCGTGCTCCCGCTGCAGCGCTGGCCTCATTTCCGTGCTCCCGCTCGTTCCGAATCGTGCTCCCGCTGCAGCACTGGCCTCATTTCCGCGCTTCCGCTCGTTTCGACTCGTGCTCCCGCTGCAGCGCTGGCGTCATTTCCCGTGCCATGCAACGGCATGCAATGTAATGCTAGGTTGATACTGCGCTTTGCGGTGCTCTTCTACGCCATGCCGTACCGTGCTCTACAAAGCATCGCGTACACTTTCGGGATCATTGTCCTGCTCGACATCCGACTGTGCGAGTAGAGAGTGGATCTACGCCATGGTAAGGGATGGGAGGGAGGGGTAGGATGTCAGATATGATGCGAGCGCACCTAGCTTGTCCTTGCCCCTCCCCGTCTCTCCCCGCCTCCTCCCCGTCCCTCCTCGTTGCTCCTCGTCCCTCTCCGTCCCTCCCCGCCCCTCCCCGTCCCTCCTCGCCCCTCCCCGTCCCTTCCCGTCCCATGTCCCTCCTCGTCACTCCTCGTCCCTCCCCACCCCTCTTCGTCCCTCACCGTCTTCACCCCCTCTTCGTCCCTCGTCGTCCTTCCTCGTCCCTCCCCGCCCCCCGTCCCTCCTCGTCCCTCCTCCTCGTCCTTCCACGTCCCCCCCCGTCCCTCCTTGTCCCTCCCCGTCCCTCCTCGTCCCTCCCCGTCCCTTAACGTCCCTCAACGCCCTTCCTCCTCCGTCCTCCTCCCTCCTCGTCCTTTCTCTCCTCGTCCCCCCTCGTCCCTTTCCGTCTCTCCTTAGCCCCTTATTTTCCTCCTCGTCCCTCCCCGTTCCTCCTCGTCCCTCCCCATCCCTCCTCGCCCCTCCCCCGTCCCTCAGCGTCCCTCAACTTCCTTCCTCATCCCTCCCCGTCCCTTCTCCTCCCTCCTCGTCCCTCCCTGCCCCTGTCTCTCCTCGTCCCTCCCCGCCTCTTTTCGTCCCTCCTCGTCCCTCTCCGTCCCTCCCCGTCACTCCTCGCCCCGTCCTCGACCGTCTCTCCCCGTCCCTCCTCGTCCCCTCGCTGCGTCGCTCCCCGCCCCTCCCCGTCCCTCCTCGTCCCTCCTCGTCCCTCCTCCTCCCCGTTCCTCCTCCCTCCCTCGTCGTCCTCGTCGTCCCTCCCTGCCCCCTCCCTTTCCCTTCTCGTCTCCTCTCGTCCCCCTCGCCGCCCCTCCCCGCCCCCTCCCCGTCCCTCCTCGTCCCTCCTCGTCCCCCCCAAGTCCTTACCTCGTCCCCCCTCTTCGTCCCTCCTCGCCCCTCCTCCTTCCTCCTCTCCGTTCCTCCTCTCCCTCCCCGTCCATCCTCGTCCCTCCTCGTCCCTCCGGCTGCAGGAGTCTGTCTTCCCGTTCCTGGACCTCCCGTTCGACGGCATCCTCGGGCTGAGCCCGCCGGCAGACCTCAAGGCGGGAGGAGGAGGAGAAGGAGGCGGAGGCGGCGGAGGCGGAGGAGTAGGAGGAGGCGGAGTAGGAGGATAACGACGACGACGATGACGATGACGATGACGACGATGATGATGATGATGATGATGATGATGATGATGATGATGATGATGATGATGATGATGATGATGATGATGATGATGATGATAATTGATGATGATGATGATGATGATGATGATGATGATGATGATGATGATGATGATGCTGCTGATGATGATGATGATTATGATAATGATGATGATGATGATGATGATGATGATGATGATGATGATGATGATGATGATGATGATGATGATGATGATGATGATGATGATGATGATGATGATGATGATGATTCATTGGCTGACTCCTCACCGCCGAGCCCTTGGGGCGGCAGTGAGAGTGAAAACTGGAGTTTGTGGAACGATTTCTGCGGTATCTTGGGGTTTCAGTTTCTTGGGATTTCGTCGGGGGCGGTTCGTGGATCGCTACTCTGCTCTTGGGCTTCTCTGGGCTCTCATGGTAGCACTTTTGAGGCCTCTTGGGAGCCGTTTTGAGGCCTCTGGGGGCGTCTTTTGGGCCTCTCGGGGGCCTCATGGGAGCCTCTTGGGGGCCTATTGGCGCCTCCTCCGGTTTTTTCGGGGTCGAGTGCTCGAAATGTTCATTCGGGTTCCTCCTCTGGGCCTCCTCTTGGGGCCGTTCTGGGGCCGTCTTGGAGCCCTCTTGGGGGCCTCTTGGGCTATCTTGGGGCGATCTGAAAGGCTTCTTGGGCCGTTGTGGGCCTCGAGAAAGCCCAAGAGGCCCACAACGGCTAAAAATACGCGTTTCCCTGGGGAATGGGACGATTTTTGCTTCTGGAGGGCCTCTTGGGACGCCTCTTGGTGGCTTCTTTGGGCGTCTTGGGGGCCTCTGGGACCGTCTGGAGGCGATCTTGGGCGCTCTTGGAGCGATCTTTCGGCGACTCGTAGCCCTCTTGGATCGTCCTGGGAGACTTTGGGGGCCCTCTTGGCCCGTCTTGGGGCCCCCTGAGGCTGCAAGGGTGCGGCTGACACCTTTGCCCCTCCCCCCCCCTCCAAACCGGCCGGACCGGCTCTTGGGGGAGGTGTTTGGGGAGGGGGAAGCATCTCACACGCCGTGACCCCAAGGGGTCGGCGGATTCTGATGATGCTGCTGATGATGATGACGATGATGATGACGACGACGATGATGATGATGCTGTTGATGTTGATGATGATGATGATGATGCTGGTTCTGATGATGCTGATGATAATGACGATGATGATGCTGCTGCTGATGATAATGCTGATGCTGATGCTGATGCTGCTGATGATGATGATGATGACGATGGTGATGGTGATGATCATGCTGCTGATGATGCTGCTGATGTTGTTGTTGATGATGATGATACTGATGATGCTGCTACTGATTATGATGCGGCTGATGCTGATGATGCTGAGGCTGCTCCTCATGATGCTGCTGAGGCTGATGCTGATGCTGATGATGCTGATGATGACGACGATGATGCCGATGCTGCTGATGATGATGCTGATGTTGCTGATGCCGATGCTGATGCTGATGCTGATGATGATGTCGATGATGAGGATGATGCTGCTGCTGATGATGCTGATGATGCTGATGCTGCTGTTTCTGCTTTTGATAGTGATGATGCTGATGATGCTGCTTATGTTGATGATGATGCTGACGATGATGAGGATGATGCTGCTGCTGCTGATGATGCAGATGTTGCTGATGCCGATGCTGATGCTGATGCTGATGCTGATGATGCTGTCGATGATGAGGATGATGCTGCTGCTGATGATGCTGATGATGCTGATGCTGCTGTTTATGCTTTTGATAGTGATGATGCTGATGATGCTGCTTATGTTGATGATGATGCTGACGATGATGAGGATGATGCTGCTGCTGATGATGTTGATGATGCTGATGATGCTGATGATGCTGTTTATGCTTTTGATAGTGATGATGCTCTGATGATGCTGCTTATGTTGATGATGGCGCTGACGATGATGGTGATGATGGTTGATGATGCTGGTGATGATTCTGCTGCTGCTGCTGACGATAACGACGATAACGACGAGGACGACGACGATGACGATAACGACGACGACGAGGACGACGATGATGATGATGATGATGCTGATCTTGATGATGATGATGATGATGATGATGATGATGATGATGATGATGGTGATGGTGATGGTGATGGTGATGGTGATGGTGATGCTGGTGATGCTGTTGATGGTGATGATGATGATGCTCATGATGCTGATGATGCTGAGGATGACGCTGCTGCTGATGATGATGATGATGACGGTGATGATGATGATGATGATGATGATGATGATGATGATGATGATGATGATGATGATGATGATGACCATGATGATGATGATGATGATGATGATGATGATGATGATGATGGTGGTGGTTGTGATGATCAGGAGGAAGAGGAAGAGACAACGAGGGGGACGAGGAGTTGGAGGAGAGGAGGAGGAGGAGGACGAGGGTGGGGAGGAGGAGGAAGAGGAGGCGGATGATGATGATGATGCTCATGGTGATGATAGGATGGGACTGATGATGATGATGATGGTGATGATGATGATGATGATGATGATGATGATGATGATGATGATGATGATGATGATGATGATGATGCTGATCTTGATGATGATGATGATGATGATGGTGATGATGATGATGATGATGCTGATGATGCTGATGATGCTGATGATGATGATGATGATGAGGATGATGCCATTGATGATGCTGATGATGATGCTGGTTATGATGATCATTATTCTGATGGTTATGACGATGCTGTTGATGACGATGATGGTGACGATGATGCTGACGCTTATGATGATGTTGATGATGCTGCTGATCATTCTGATGCTGATGATGATGCTGCTGATGCTGATGATGCTGATAATGCTGATGATGCTACTGATGGTGCTGCTGATGCTGATGCTGCTGATTATGATGATGAGGAGGATGATGATGCTGCTGCTGCTGCTGCTGATGATGATGATGATGATGATGATGATGATGATGATGATGATGATGAAGATGACGATGGTTTTGGTGGTGGTGGTGACGATGGTGATGATGAGGGGGAGGAGGAGACAACGAGGGGGACGAGGGGGAGGAGGAGGAGGAAGAGAAGGAGGAGGAGCCTCTGCCAGCCCTACTTCTGCCAACCCACCAGCCTGTGCAACCGCCGCCTGTTCAGTATCCCTCGTGTCTACGGGGGGGGGCAGCGAGGAAGGGTTGGAAGAACCCCCTCGTGGGTTCGTTCCAGCTGTTTTCTGTTGGCAGCATCCATTTCCTCACCTCTCTCACCTCTTCCTCGTTCTCCTGTCCTCTCCGTCCTCGTTCTCGTCCTCGTCCTCGTTCTCGTCCCCGTCCTCGTCCTCGTCCTCTCTCTCTCTCTCTCGCTGCCCATCTGTCTCTCCTTCTCTCCCTCTCACTCTGTCTCTCTCTTTCTCTCTCTCTCTCTCTCTCTCTCTCTCTCTCTTTCTCTTCTCTATATATATACATAGATGTATGAATATCAATATTGTCAAGCATGGGCACCAACCAATGTGTTTTTAGCACTATGTGTTGTGCAATGTACGTTGTGCAATCTATGTGGGTTTGGTGGTCGATGTACATATATATATATATATAGATGTACGCATGTATATGGTACAACCGAGGTTCTGCAATCGAGGTGGAGCAATATGTGTGATGCAATCCATGCTGTACTATGTGTATGGTGTGCAATATATGTTGCGCAACATATGTGGTGCAATCTATGTGGTGCAATCCATGCGGAGCAACACATGTTGTACATATATAGTGTGAAATTTAGGTTGCGCAATCTTTGTGATACAATCAATCGATTTGGTGCAACCTAGGTGGTGCGCAATCTATCTTGTGCAATCTAGTCGGAGCAATCTATGTAGTCACTCTAGGTGTTGCAACATCGGAGGTTTGGGGGTGAGATCGCAGCAGAACGGAGAGCCCACCACTGGGAAATCGATTTTGGTTTCGTGTCTTGCGTGCGGGCGAGGCGAAGCAGCGTGGGCGCGCGAGAGGACTGATCCCGCCGTCGCTAGGGTGATTCGGATGCAGTGGACCGCCCCTCCGCCCCAGGTGGGCGCGCGGTGGCCCTGAGAGTCCAGCCGTGGTGTCCTGTGGTGTCCCGTTGTTGTCCCGTTGGTGTCCCGTCGGTGCTCCGTCGGCGCTTGGCGGGCGGTGGCTGGGGGTGTCCCGCCTTGGTATCGATAGTGAAGTCGGTAGTGAGATCGATAATGAGATCTCTAGAATGGGATGGATAATGAGATCAAAAGTGAGATCGACAGTGTGCGATTGATTGTGACATTGGCTGTGAGATCGACAGTGAGATCGATAGTGAGACCGATAGTGAGATCGATAGTTAGATCGATAGAGGAATCGATAGTGAGATCGCTTGTTGGATCGATAGCGGGATCGATCGCTGAATCCATTGGTGCTAAGACTGGCCGCGAGGTCGATAGTGGGTCCGATCGAGTGAGATCGAAAGCGGGGACGATAGTGACATTACATCGCAGCGCAACATCGTCATCACGCGTCGTCGCTAATTCGAGGGCGCGTCACCAGCATCGTCATCATCACGCCCATCGCATTTGCCAGCAGTTGGTTCTGTCCCCCCCGGCCCCCAATCTCCTTGTCACCGGAAGGGTGGTCGTATAGGTATGTTGTGCAATCTAGGTTGTGCAATTGATGTGGTGCAATTCAGGTTGTGCAACCGATGAGGTTCATTCCATGTGGTCCAGTCTATGTGGTGCAATCTATGTGGTGCGCACACTAGTTGGTGCAATCTATGCGGGGCAATCTACGTGGTGCAATGTCTGCTGTATGAATTATATGCTGTGCAGTTTACGTGGAATATAGCTTGTGCAAGCCATGTGGTGCAGTCTACGGGCGGCGTCGCAGCGCCGACGGGGCCGCGACGGCGACAACACAGCCACCAGACGGGCCCACAGGCCCAGACGATGTGCGGCGACGAGGCGGCGACGGGGCGGCGTCGGCGGCCAAATGGTCGCCAGACCGAAGACACGGCCGAGACGACGGGTGGCGACAAGGCGGCGACGAGGCGGCTACGGCGGCCGGCCACACAGCAGGGATTGCTTTGCATTGCTTTGCATTGCTTCGCGTTGCTTTGCGTTGTTTTGCATTGCTCTGCGTTGCTTCGCGATGCTTTGCGTTGCTTTGCATGGCTTTGCATGGCTTCGCTTTGCATTGCTGTGCATTGCTTTGCATGTGTTGCGTTGCTTTGCGTTACTTTGCGTTGCTTTGATCGCTTTGCGTTACTTTCTGTTGCTTGGCATTGCTTGGCATTAGTTTGCATGGCTTTACATTGTTTTGTATTGATGTGCATGGTTTTGTATTGCTTTGTATTGCTTTGCGTTGCTGTCGCCACGTAGGTTGCACCACATGAATTGCACCACTTGTATTGCACCACTTAGACTGTACCACCTCGACTGCACCGGATCTATTGCGAGACATCACTGTTTGAGGTCCACGCTGGTTAACATGCACATGTATATGTACATGTACATGCACATGTACATGTATATGTATATGTATATGTATATGTATATGTGTATGTATATGCATATGTATATGTTGTATATTTGTATATATATATATATGTATATGTATTTGTATGTGTATATGTATATGTATATGTACATGCCTATACATATGTATATGTAGATGTAGATGTACACGTAAACGTTTATGTATCTGTATTTGTATATGTTTCCGTATATGTGTATGCTTATATATATATCTACATATATATATATATGTACATGCGCAGGTATATGTATATGTATATGTACATGTATATGTATATGTATATGTGTATGTATATGTATGTGTATGTGTTTGTGTATGTGTTTATGTATATGTATTTGTATATGTCTATGTATATGTATATGTATATGTATATGCATAGGACTATGTCTATGTGTACGTCTAGGTATATGTCTAGGCATCTGCATATGTATATGTATATGTATATGTATATGTTCATGTATATGTATATGTATATGTATAGGTATAGGTGTATGTATATGTATATGTATATGTATATATATATATATGTATATGTGTATATATATATGTATATATATGTATATGTATACGTACATGTATATGTAGATGAGTATGTATATGTATATGTAGATGTATATGTATATGTAGATGTATATGTATATGTATATGTATATGGATATGTATCTGTCTATGCATATGTCTATGTATATGTATATGTATATGTATATGTATATGTATATGTATATGTATATGTATATGTATATGTATATGTATATGTATATGTATATGTATATGTATATGTATATATATTTGTACTTGTACTTGTACTTGTATTTGTATTTGTATATGTATATGCATATGTATATGTATATGTGTATGTTTATGTATATGAATATATGTATATATATGTATACGCATGTTGTACACACTGTCTTGTATATTCCTCTGTTGTTTTTGGTCTCTTCCTGATCCTCTCCCCTCCCCCTTCCTCCTACTTACCCCTGCCCGTTGGCGAGATCGTCCCGCCACTGTGCAGCAGAAGGTGGAGGAGGAGGATGAGGAGGAGTAGAGAGGAGGAGATACAGAGAGGAGGAGATGGAGGGAGGAGGAGATGGAGGGAGGAGGAGATGAAGAAGGAGCCGGAGAGGGAGAGGCAAGGCCCCTTCGACGCCCACGCCGCCGAGCAGCCCCCCCCTTCGGAGGAGAGCGGCTCGCTGCTGACCTGGGAGCTCCAGCGCCAGGCCGGCCTCGGCTGCTTCGCGGTGCGCCTGGGGGCTCTAGCGTCGGGCGGCGGCGGGGGCGAGCTCGTGCTGGCCCGGGACCCGTCCCTCCTGTCCCAGCCCTTGGCGGCGCGTTCCGAGGGGTTCGAGGGCCGAGGTTTCGTGGATCTCTTGTCGCTGCCCTTCCTTCTCCGGGAGGGAGACGCAGTATCGATGGCACGCCGCCGTTGGGCTCCGTCCCTCCTGCCCCAGCTCTTGGCGGTGCAGGGTGCGAAGGGCTCGATGGTTTGGAGGGGGCTGCTGGACACATCTTGGATTGCTTTTTTTGGGGGGGGGCCTCCGGAAATCCCCCCAAGATCTCCGAGGACATGCTTTTTTCGAGCCGGGCGTTTGTCTTAGATTTTGGCCTCCTGGGGCCCGTTAACTATCCAGCCCCAGCGCCACGGGGCGCAAAATTGCCACCCCGGGGATGCGGTCGGGACCTCCAGGGCCGCGCATCGAGAAACTCACATGGTCGGATGTCTGGTGGGTTTCTTCTCCGAAGGGCTTAGACAACCCGTCCTCCTCCTCTCTCCTCCTCTTCTTCCTCCTCCTCCTCCTCCATCTCCACCTCCTCCTCCTCCTCCTCCTCCTCCTCCATCTCCTCCACCTCCCCCTCCTCCACCTCCTCCTACTCCGTGTCCTCCTCTCTCCTCCTCCTCCTCCTCCTCCTCCTCCTCCTCCTCCTCCTCCTCCTCCTCCTCCTCCTCCTCCTCCTCCTCCTCCTCCCCCTCCTTCCCCTGCTCGGGTCGCCTACGGCCCCGGGGGAAACCGTGCAGCCAGGCCTAGCTGCATCAGGCAAGGAGTGGAGAATGTTCTGCCCGCGGCTGCAGTTTCTTCTCGGGTGCGCTGGATGTGTTGGTTTGTCAGCACGCTCTCGTCTGCGGGGGCCGGAGAGGGGGCAGGACGTTGATGCTTTCTGCCTCCTGTGGGGCTCCTGTAGCGGGATCCCGAGGCCACGTCTGGGTGCAGCTCGAGAACCTGCTCAAGGCGGTGTCCTGGAGGGGAGACCGCGGCCTGGGGACTCATTTCGAGCGGACGTTGGTGGAGGGGGGCGGCCTCCAGAGGGGGTGCCCGCCTCGCAGGACCCTTCCCGCCTCCCTCCATGTGCGCTTCGGCTTTGGCTTCGGCTTCAGCTGCGATGCGCGTTGAGGCGCCCTCGGGCCTGCTCGCCCGAGTCGTTCTTGCGCGCGCATAGGCGCTGTCACTGTCCTCCCTCTCCCCCACCACGGGGCCCACTTTGACTCCTCCTGCTCGATTCGACTCGGTTTCTGTCGATTCCGATCCGACTCTACTTCGGATTTCGGCTGGGTTTGCGGTCTGTCAATGGGTGCCTTACTAGCCCGACGATTCCCGCCGATTCGACTTCTCCCGACTTGGCTGCCGATCTCCGCCGATCCGATTCGTGTCGTTCGCCGAGCCGGCCTATGGAGTCGGCTCTGGGCGCTCCACCCTCGTTGCCTTCATTGAGGTGCCTTCGCAGGCGCCCCTGGCCAGGAGCAACAGCGTCCTCTGAGAAGCCCCCCTGTCGGAGGCCTGGGGGTTGACACCAGCACCAGTAGCGGCAGTGTGCCTTCACCAACAGACGATACTCCCGATCTGCGAATTTGTCGCCACTTTCGAGGGCTGCTGGGGGGGGGGCCAGCACAGTGGGGCCCCACACATATTCAGATTAGACCTCGCCATCCCTGCGGGGCTGCGAATCTGTCGGCACTTTCGAAGGCTGCTGAGGGGGGACAGCACAGTAGGGCTCCACCGAGATTCAGATTAGACCTCGCCATCCCTTGGAGGCTGCAATCTGCGAATCTGTCGCCACTTTCGAGCGCTGCGGGGGGGGACCATCACAGTGTCGCCTCACCCAGATCAGATTTGGCCTCGACATCGCTGGGGGCCTGCGATCTGCGAAACTGTCGCCACTTTCGGGAGCTGCTGGGGGGGCCAGCGGAGTGAGGCCCCACGCAGACCTAAATTAGACCTCGCCATCCCGGGGGGGCTGCGATGTGCGAATCTGTCGTCAGGCAGCACAGTGACGCCATACGCGGACTCAGATTAGACTTCGCCACCCCTGTGGGGCTGCGATCTGCGAAACTGTCGCTACTTTCGAGGGCTGCTGGGGGGCAGCACAGTGTCGCCAAGTTCAGACTCACAGTAGACCTCGCCATCACTGGCGGCTGCGATCTGCGAAACTGTTGCCAGGCAACACAGTGATGCTATACGCGGACTCAGATGAGACCTCGCCATCCCTTGGGCTGCTGGGGGGGGGCGGCGGCATAGTGGGGGCCCTTCCCAGGTTCAGACTAGACCTCGCCACCCCTAGGGGGCTGGGATCTGCGAAACTATCGCCACTCTCGAAGGCTTGATGGGGGGGCAGCACAGTTGGGGCCCTACCCAAACTTCGGATAGACCTCGCCATCCCTGGGGGACTGCGATCTGCGAACTTGTCGCAACTTTCGAGGGCTGCTGGGGGGGCCAGCACAGTGGGGGGCCCCACCCAGGTTCAGATCAGACCTCGCCGTCCCTGGAGGGCTATGATCTGCGAACCTGTCGCTACTTTCGCGGGCTGCTGGGGGGTCAGCATAGTGGGGGCCCCGCCCAGCCTCGGATCGAGGGCTCCTGGGGGGGGCAGCATTGAGGGTAGCTGCCCCAGACATCGATTCGACCTCGCCGTTCCCTTCGGGGGAAAGCGTTGCCACTTGCGAAGGCTGCTTTGGGGGGGGGCAGCTCCCTTTCCTTTCGAGCCAGGGCAAGAAGTAATCGCCTCCAGTCCCCTGTCCATCGATCGGTGCCCTGCGAGTCGCGCAGCTCGCGAGCCTCCCAAGAAACGCTCGCAGAGAAAGTATTTGCTTGCCACGTTGTCACTCCCTACACATTCTACCCAGCTGTTCTGGCCGTGCGTTGCGCACGGGTTGGGTACATCGCCAGGGCCTTTATCTCGGCGAGGACCATCGAAGAGCATCTTGGACCACCTGGCAACAAGACAAACGCACGAAGCCGAACAAGTCAGTGGGAAAAACCGCACAGGCACACCTCGGCGTCGACTGCCAGGAGCAGACGGGAAACAACTGGGATGTGCGGGGGACGACGCAGAGTCCAGAGAACATGGGAACATCATGGGGGATCCTAGGATTAAGTCGGGCCTGTCCCTCTACAGGAGGAATGTTCAAACATGGTCAAACAATAGTCTGGGGACGACCTTTTAGTATTTTTTGGCTATTTTGGGGCACTTTTTGAGCACATATTTTAAAGCATTTTCTCGTCCAAAATCCGCCAGCAGGGGGACAGGCCCGACCGAAGGCTTGTGCCCATGCCGTTCCAGCGATGGCAGGAGCAGGCCTGCCGAGCGGCCCCCCGTGGCGTCCCCCCTCTCGGCCACACGCAGAGGGGGGCCCTGGGGGGGAGGGGGGAGGGCTTCTCTCGGGAGCCTTGAGACGGGGGTCAGTGCAAACGGGGGTCAGCCAGAGCGCCCGATCTTGCAGGATCCTGCAGGGCCAGGGTCGCATTGACCCAGGCTGGGTGCCGGAGCTTGCCGGATCTTGCAGGATCCTTCGCACTGACCCGGGTCTGGGTGCAGGATCTCGCAGGATCTTGAAGGTTTCTGCAAGGCCTGACTGACCCGGGTCTGGATTGACCCGGGTCAGAAGATCCCCGATTCTTAAGAGCACCGCGGGCCCCATCTCTGGATGTCAGGCTGCCCTTTCTAAGAGGCAGCCTCCCTCCAAGAGGCCTTCCCCCCTCCCCCGACCACTTGTGATCGTTTTCTTATCCATTGTTTTGCCGATCGGCGCGGGCCCTCGCACCCCCCCCCTCCCCCCCCTGGAGTGGATCCTGGCTGTTTGGGGCGCCTGTTTCGAGCAGGTGGAGTCTCCCCCCCCATAGGACGCACGGTTGTAAACAGTCGCACCACTCGGAGGTCTGGAGCCAGACCCTCCCCCCCCCTCCCCCCCCCCCCTTTCGCCCAATGTCGGAACGCCGAATAAAAAACGACTCCTCGGCCCGTGCCCCCTTCGGAACGCCGCCAGCCAGCGCTGGGCAGGGCGCAGGGCTGCGCACAGGCTGCCCCGCCCTGATGTTCGCGATGCGCGGCCCCCGGGAGGTCCCGATCCCACGCGTGCTCGCGCCGTGGGAAATTCAGGGCCGGAGGTCTTGCGTCGAGAAACGATCCAGGATGAAGAACTGGTCACGGGGAAAGGGTCGGGACTTCGGGAGTGTTTTTTGCTGGAAAAATCAGGACGTCGCATGTCTGGGCCCGGGACCGTCTTTTCGCGTACTGAGTTTGTTTTAAGTCGGCGGGCATGTCCTTCTACAGGAGGAATGTTCAAGAATAGTAAAAAAAGCAGTCAGATGACGAGTTTTTTTTTTTTCTTTCCCCCCCCTCTCTCCCACAGTGGAGACCCATGCCAAGAAGCACCCTGCTTGCCTCCAGGGTGTCCTGGGTTTCTTACGTTTCGATGGTTTTGCCGTGGCAAGCGTGACGTCCCCACACCAAAAGTCAATGGACGCCCGGGGGTCTCGGGGCTGGGTGGCTTGTGGAAGGTTTCCTGTGGGCTGGCCTCAGCTGTATTTTTGCTTCCAAGACCCGCTTGCGGGAGGACATGCCCGACCTGAAGTCAGCTTTTTGACGGTCCTGGGGCCCGGCGAGGGCCCCTGGAGTCCGAGCGCGGCCGAGGACCTCCCGCCGCGTAGTTACTCCCTTTGTGAAGGGGAACTGGGACACACAACCAAATACACACAAATTCAAAGATTCCCCCATATTTTCCCATATTTTCGGGGTTTTTGTCCCCCCCCCCACCTTCCCATATTTTCCCATATTTTCTGGGGAATCGACGATCAATTGTGTCTGTGTGTTTTTTTCCCTCCTGACTTAACACGCCGCGAGCACGTCTGCGTGAGAGATTCTCCCAGGCCGCCCGGGGCCCGCCGAGGCCGGCCGGGGCTCCCCTCCTGCCCAGACCCCCTCGAGTTATGACAACATTTCGACCTCCTCCTCCTCCTCCTCCTCCTCCTCCTCCGCCTCCGCCTCCGCCTCCGCCTCCGCCTCCTCCTCCTCCTCCTCCTCCTCCTCGGAATGTTTTTCACAATTTTCGGCCTCTGGGGCCCCTGACCGGCCCTCGGGACGGCCAAACAGCGATTCAGGATGAGAAGTCGGTCCCGGTGAGTGTGGGTCGAGGCCTCTGGAGGTCGACGCTAGGAACAAGTCATGACGTCGGGGGTCTGGGTGGGGGCTGCGCGGCTGCGCGTAAGAGTTGCCCTGCGCCGGAGTGGCCTTGAGTGCGGGCTCGCAGGGGTCCCGCCCGCACCGGCTGGCGCGCTTGGACTGCGTTGATGTCCGGTTGGTTCCAAAGGGGGTTTTTGGGGAGGGGATTTTCCAGGAGGGGTCCCCCAGGGGCTTCGCACCCCCTGTTTTGACGAGGTTCCGAGGCCCCTGGGGGGCTCTCTGGAAAACCCCCTCCCCGAAAACCCGCTTTGGAACCCTCCAGGATGTGGCCTCCCCCGCGGCCTCCTTAAAGGCCGCGCGCGAAGGGTCGCTCTTGCCTGGGGCCACTCCTGCGTGCAGCCGAGCTGCCGCCCGTGAGCAGCCCTGGGCCCTGCCCTCCCAGCACGTCGCCACCGCCGGGCCGCTGCGGTGGGCGCCCGCGCTGGAGCCCGAGGAGGCCTCCGGGCGGGGTCTGGGCCAAGGATGAATCTCGCAGGCCTAGAGTCGGGTATAGCCAGGACCCCGGGTAAGGGGACCGGGTTAGTGGCAAGGCCCTGGGGCCCCTCAATTGGCCAGGTTCTCTAAACCAGGTTTGCCGTAACTGGTGTTTTTCGGGTGACGGCAGTTCCGGTTAGCGGAACGGGGCGGGGGTGGCCTCCCCCAGTACACAGCGCGAAACCAGGTTTCCATAAACCCAGCTCTGCCAACGCCCGATAGAGGTTGACACCAACACCAATATCGGCGGTGATCCTCCACTGAGGGAAGAGGATCCCGATCTCGGTGATGGTGGTAATATATTTTGGCTTCCAAGGTGACCGAAATAGTACCACCAACACCGACATCGAGGACAATCTTCCCCTGTGGAGGCAATCCCCTGTGTTGGTGTTGGTGCCCATTTCCAGGCCTCCCAAAACCGCTCCAGAGCGCTCCAGAAAGCTCCGGGAAGCCGCGGCGCCCGATAATTCGATACCAGCTCCTGGGAGCCGTGTGTGTCCTTGCACTTTCCATGCTAAGAGTGCACGGGCGTGCGCTAGCCTCTTGGTACTCGATGACGGAGCGCGGATTTGGCGTCGATTTGGCGTCGACGGGCGTCGATTAGCGTCGGTTGGCGGCGTCGGTTTGCAGGAGCCAGCAGAATGGCAGGGGGGGCTCCCAGGAGCTGCCATCGGTCGGGTCTATTCCGCCCGATTCGGTCCTTGTCCTGGATTCGTTTTAGGCCTGGCCCTGGCAGCGCGGCTACGCGCGGCTCGGCGCGCCGCTCGCCCGCGGCGGCACCTACAACTGGTGGGTCGTGCCCGTGGTCTCCATCCGGAGGGGCGCAGCACGGCGACCGCGACCAGGGCGTCGCTGAAGGCAAACTCTTGCTGAAGGCATACGTGTTTTACTGGAGGCACAACTCCTCCTCCTCCTCCTCCTCCTCCTCCTCCTTTGCTCACTGGAGGTGGAACAGCTTGCTCAATGAGGGCAATCTGTTTCACCGTACGCCGCGCGTAGGCAATCTTGCCGCTCTCACGGAAGGCGGCGATCTCCCATTGCAGGGAGCCATGTTTGCCTCCAGTGAGCTCATTTTTGCCTGCAGTGAAATATGCCTTCAACACATCTTTGCCCTCACTGAAACCTGTTTGCCTTCCGGGGGAACTTGTCGACGCCGATCTTGGCCACGGTCCATGCCGGCCGTTGCCGATTCGCGAGGACTGTCCACGATCTGACGGCGACCAAGATCGACGCCGGAGGAGGAGAAGGAGGAGGAGGAGGAGGAGGAGGAGGAGGAGGAGGAGGAGGAGGAGGAGGCGCAGGAGGTGCAGGAGGTGCAGGAGGAGGGAGGAGGAGGAGGAGGAGGAGGAGGAGGATGAGGAGGGGAGGAGGAGGAGAGGAGGAGGAGGCGGAGGAGAAGGAGGAGAGGAGGAGGAGGAGGAGGGGAGGAGGAGGAGGAGGAGAGGAGGAGGAGGGAGGAGGAGGAGGAGGGAGGGAGGAGGAGGAGGAGGAGGAGGAGGGAGAGGAGGAGGAGGTGCAAGGAGGAGGAGGAGGAGAGGAGGAGGCGGAGGAGGAGGTAGAGGGGAGGGCGGCGGAGGAGGAGGAGGAGACGCTGCCGCGCTGCGAGCTTGGTCGTGGCCGCCGCTTGCTCCCCCTCCTTCCCGTGGCCCTGGAGGGCGCCGGGGGCTCCCTGCAGCTCTGCGGCGCGGGGGCGGGGCCGTGCCGCGCCGTGGTGGACACGGGTGGGCACCGTTGAGACAAAGCAGCGGGGGGGAAACAACACACACACACACAGAGACACAAGTGTTCGTTCTCTTACTCCTCCTCCTCCTCCTCCTCCTCCTCCCTCCTCCTCCTCCTTCTCCTCCCTCCTCCTCCTCCTCCACCCTCCTCCTTCCTCTCCCCCTCCTCATTCTCCTCCTCCTCCTCCTCTCCTCCTCCTCCTCTCCTCCTCCTCCTCCTCCTCCTCCTCCTCCTCCTCCTACTCCTCACCCCCCCTCCCCCTCCCCTCCCCCTCCTCCTCCTCCTCCTCCTCCTCTCCTCCTCCCTCCATCTGTGAATGTCAGGCTGCGCCTTCTAAGAGGCAGCCTCCCTCCAAGAAGCTTTCCCCCCCCCGACCCCCTTCTGATCGTTTCGTGTTCGTTGTTTTGCCGATCGGCGCGGGCCCTCGCACCCCTTCCCCCCCCCTGGAGTGGATCCTGGCTGCTTTGGGCGCCTGTTTCGAGCAGATGGAGTCCCTCCCCCATAGGACGCACGGTCGCAAACAGTCGCACTAAGAAGAGGTCCGGAGCCAGACCCCCCCCCTCCTCCCCTCTCCGCCCAATGTCGAAATGCCGAATAAAAAAACGCTCACCAAATGATCGTCGGTCCCCAGGGAAACATGGGAAAATATAGGACAAGGGGGGGAAGGCGAAAGTCCAGCCATAGCATATGGGAAACATGGAGGAATCCTGGGATATGTGTGTATTTGTGGACACGTGTGGGCATTTCGTGGAATGAAGAAAGCGGAGCCGACTGGGTATCGGAGCGATCGAAATAGGTACGGAAGGAATGGCAACGAAGACGGACAGCAGTCCCTGAGATCCTGACGTAATTTCTTCGAGCCGGGCGCTTTCGCTCAATTTCGGCCGTGTGACCCTCACAGATCGATGCGGCCAAGAGGGGAGTGATGACCATGGACCATGTCATGCTGTGGGGGGAACATGTCTGGCCAGGGCCGTGACACTGCCCAGAGCCTTCCTGGATTCCATTTCCTCCGCAGTGTGACGCACGTGAAGGCACACCGTTCGGGAGCGGAGTATGCTGGCCTGGATGTGGCCACAAGGAGGATCACAGATGCCAATGTCTATGCGGACGTTCGAGCCAAAGCTGGTGCGGCGATGCATGCAACCATCAGCGAGGATTTCGCGATGGCTATCGACATGGCCACTGTGAGGATCAAGCATTTCGCGCAGTTGGTAGCGGCCGTGCTACCCTTGTTTGATCGGGATGGGCAAGACCGATGGACAAGGCGAGCTGCCCAAGTCAAGAGGGTAAGGAGTACGCGCACCGATGGATGGCACCAGTGGGAGGAAGGAAGTTTCGGTCTTCAATGCAAGGCGTGCTTGAAGCTCAACAGCCCAGGGATGGAAGTTCTGCTCAATGGCTGCGCTGGCACCCCTACCTTCCTCAAGGCTTTCCTCAACCAACCACTCGGACATCACCTCGTGGCGGTGAACCAGAAGGGTGACGGGCTCAGCGACGACGCGGTTCCCACGGTCTTTGTCTGCGTAGGCTGCGGTGCATGGGCACAACAACGTCGACGGCAGAAACTCCGAAGGCAGTGCAAGCCACCAACCAGACAAGGCATAGAAGTTCTGACGAATCTACGGCGGGGCTTAGGCCCACACAAGACGCTGGCGAGGCACATGGACTTGGCGATCCCCCTGTGCAAGCTCATGCCCAAGACCCTGCCCCCGCTGGTCTCGAAGACCTGTGTCAGCCGACCTGTGGTGTTGGCGGAGGTCACGGGGTACGAGCACAAGATGGCAGCAATGATGGGAAGGATAAAAGCAAAGGAAAAGGCAAAGCGCGAGCAGGACGATGACAACAACACGATACTCGGACGCACGCGACATGGAGATCCTCAACAAGGGGGTAGTGTATGCACGGGAACGGGGGCGCCCACTGAGTCCTTGGCGGCCAGCGCGCCTGAGGCACATCAGTGTCGCCACGTCAATGGAATGCCCCCCGTGGTACAACAGCATGGCGATCACCTACCCGCAGCCGCTGAAGACGGAGTCGGTGATGATGACGGTGCACGCTGCAGCCGAGACGGAAAGGAGGCAGGAGCAGGGCCTCATCCGAGCAGCGAAGGTGGAAAGGAGGCAGGAGCAGGGCCTCAACCACATGACGGAGACGTCGGTCTCGCCAGGGACCGCGTCGGAAAGGGGGCAGGAGCAGGGCCCCAGCCGAGCGGTCGCGGCGGAAAGGGGGCAGGAGCAGGGCCTCAACCGCATGATGGAGGTGCGCAGCAGAGAGGACGAGCAAGGCAGCCAAGTCTCTGGGCACTTTTTCAGGCGGCATCGGGACGACGAACTGAGAGCGGGCAGAAGGACCATGGGCCGAATCCCATGGGAAGGGCAAGCGGGGATCTCGAGAAGCAGACGTTGAAGGCAATCATGGGCGCCCAGGCGCTCAGCGGCAACCACAGCGGGGAACATGCTGCTCGAGACCGCGCAGAGAACACGGGCAGCCTCCGAGGCCAGGAAGCGGCTGCGGTGGCAAGCACTACGAGGAGTTCTTCGAGAAGAAGAGCCGAGCCAATAGGCATGGAGGCGCCCAGCCAGGGGCAACGTGGTCGGAGAGCTGCGTCTGAGGGCGCACTCCAGGGAGCTAATGGCGTTACGAGGTGGGGTACTACGTGGAGTACAGCCTGCACAGCGCCTGTGGCCCTGGATGTGTCTCCCAGGGGCGGCGCGGAGGCGGCTGGGGTGAACCACCCTAGCCGCCTCTCCCCTGCGCGGCGAGGGGTTAGGCCGCAGCGGATAGCGGCAGCGCCCGACACGTTACAGGGCGTTGCCGATGCTACGACGAGGGGCGCTATGAGGAGTACTCCCTGCGCAGAGCCTGTGGCCCTGGATGTGTCTCCCAGGGGCGGCGTGCGGGGTACTACGCGGAGTACGGCCTGCACAGCGCCTGTGGCCCTGGATGTTTCCCCCAGGGGCGGCGCGGAGACTGCTGGGGCGCTCTGCCCACACCGCATGTCCCCTGCGCGGCGAGGGGATAGGCCGCGGTGGCGCATGGCAGCGCCCCACGAGTCACAGGGAGATGCTGGCGTCGCGACGCGGGGCACTACGCGGAGCACTCCCTGTGCAGCGCCAGTGGCCCTGGACGTGTCACCCAGGGGCGGCGCGGAGGCGGCTGGGGCGACCTGCCCTAGCCGCCTTTCCCCTGCGCGGCGAGGGGTTAGGCCGCTGCGGATGTGGGCAGCACCTGTCGAGACGCAGGGAGCAGCTGACGCTCATACGAGGGGTACTACGTGGAGTACCTCCTGCACGGCGCCTGTGGCCCTGGAGGTGCCTCCCAGGGGCGGCGCGGAGGCGGCTGGGGCGAGCCGCCCCAGCCGCACTACCCCCTGCGCGGCGAGGGGTTAGGCCGCAGCGGCTCTGGCAGCGCCCGACGAGTCGCAGGCGCTGAGTGCCGCGATGAGTGCCCGCGGCCGCGGGCGCTCGTGCGCGGCGGCCCCCGAGGGGGCGACCCGCGTCCGCGGGCGTGTCATCATCATCATCATCATCTTCTTCTTCTTCTTCTTCTTTCAACGCGTCCACTCCTCCCCCCTCCTCATCCGCGCACGTGCCTCGGGCAGTGAAGTGCGAATCCCCCTCTCGGACGCCCTCCCGACTTGGACGCCCCCGAGCATCCGGCCGTGACGACGAGGGCGCTCCCAGCGGAGCGAGCGGCGACGGGCTCCGCCTGCGGGGGCCCCCCTGGCCCCTCGGGGGCGCGGAGGGGGGGAGGCCAGCGGCCGTGGCATCTTCCCCTCCTGGGAGAGCCAAAGAACTACTGACACCGCTGCTCCGTGGACCTCTCCTGGGCTTTCTCTTCTCGTGCGTGCATTGATTCACGTGTTGGTCGGGGCCGCAGCCCCCGCCCCTCCAGTTGGAACCCGCTGGAGCCAAGGTGCTCCTCCTCGAATCTCTGCTGTGCCTCCACGGGCGGCCGTCGCCCCCTCCCGAGAGAAAAAGACAGCCCCGGGGGCACTCGGAATCGGCGGCGAGCAGCAACAAACCTTACTAAATTGGGGTCGAGGGAACAACAACAAAATCGGCGGCGAGCGAGGGGGGGAAGTGAGAAGGAGAAGTCCTCCTGAGAGGGTCCGGAAGCCCCCCTGGCCTTCTGAGAAGTTTTCGAGGCCTTCCCCGGTGGCGCAAACACCGTTCCGAAGGCGCGAGGGCTTCGGAGAAGTCCCGCCG